GGCGGGCCCCGCGCTCCCGGGAGCCCCACCCGCCCCGCCAGGCCCAGCCTTCCCGACCGGCAGACCCGGCCACTGCAAGCGCGATGCGTCTAGCTGCAAGTTGCAAGTTTGCTGCAAGCTCCTGCCACGGAAGCCGATGCAATACGGTTTAATACATTTTATAGAAACACGAACGTCTATTGTCAGGGAGGTTGGATGAATGACCGCGCAGTCACACCTGGGGACCCAGGCACCTGCTGCAGGCGGAGGCAAAGGTGTTGGCCTGTACGAGGTTTGTTTGGATAACAAGACTCTGTCTCAGGTGCTGTTTGTGGGAAGTGGAGGATCTGATTAGCACTGAACCGGCTGCCTTGGGGGTGGACTTGGAGGGTAAGAACCACCTTACGCACCTCTCACAATATTATTGACCTGCCTTAAGTTGCTTTTTTGAAATCATACTCCATATTTCAAAGAGGGATGAGGAATTCATGCCGTGGGCTTACTTACAGACTTATCTGGTGCACTGAGTTGAAGAGGTTGATCTTTTCCAGATTGCACCTTTTTATAACGCTGCTGTGTTTCATGGAAGCAGTCCTCAGCAGTGGGTGTCTTACCATGAGGGAGCAAACCTGGGCCCCAAGCACAGCCACCGTCACTAATGGACCTCTGGCTTTCCACTGAGATGGCCTATCCTTCCCGGGGCTGTGACCCTGCACATCTGCCCCAGCCTGAAGCTGCCAGGAGCGCCCAGGCAGAGACGGAGAGGTGGCGGCGCCCTTCCTGGTTACTTTATAAAGGTTGACTGGACACAACTGGAGCAGTTACAGCTGTTCTGACTGATTTTGGTCCAAGGTAGAGTTCTCACAGGCTCCGACAGCGGCGGGTCATTTGGGTGCCAATGTCACCTCGGTGCTGCTGCCAGTGCATCTAACTCCCTGGTCCCCTCATGGGAGCAGAGAGGGTCACTGGAATCTGCGCTGGCAGCTCCTTTGTGGGATGTGGGAAGGCCTTTCCGTCAGCGCTGCTGCTGTCACCAGCCTGGAGCACACACAGGAAGGGCAGGGACGCGTCCCTCCGACATGGGTCTCTGTGTGCCCGCCCCGTCCTCTTCCCAGGGCACCTCAGGCAGGGCCCTGTCCACAAAGGCAGGGCTGCAATCTGTGTGGACAGAGGCGGCACCCAACTACCCTGTCCTGGGCAGACTGGCACAAGCTCTCTGCGACTGGGGGCAGCGCTGGGGACCCAGATCCCTCAGTGAACCAGACACAGAACCTTGATTTCACAGTCAGACGCCCGAAGGGCTGGCGTGTCTCTACCGAGCCTATTCACTCAACGAGCACCCAGACCTGCTACTGGTCAGTTTGCTACCAAGCGCACACTCTCACGAGGGCCAGGTCAGCCTGCAAGCCTCAGGGGGTGGTTGGAAATCAGTGTAAGCAAATGAACGTAACCCCTGCATGGAGCTTGGCATACACTGGGAAGCAAGAAGGCGTCTTTTAAATGTTTGTGTATATGTATTTAAAGACAACAAACCCCATTACTAAGCTTGCAGAGAAACCAGAAATAAACTATGGGCTTCTACACCAATAGCTCAGACAAGGTTATTTCCCACTTCAAAACCCGACCAGCCGCTTTAAGGAGGAAGCACGCCTTTCCCCTGCGTGCTCCGCGCCCTGTCGCAGGAGAAGCAAGCAGAGAACTAAATGACAGGAGGTCGACATCAGATTTATTAATTCGAGAAGGTAAAAGTGAAAATTATTTCCAAAGAATTCTCATGCCCAACTAGTGAAAATTCGGCAATCTCATTTTTAACTTCATATCAGATAAAATCTCGAAAAATCCAGGTTTCCCTGTGAGTGTAAACAGGCGCCTGTGGCTGCGTGTCACCCCTGAGCAGTCAGACCGAGCTCCTGGCATAGAAGTCATGGCGCTCGGGACTAAATCCTGTTTCGACGTCAACACAGTGGATGAGATTGAGCAAAGCACGCAGGGGAGCTCGGGACACCCATGGAGTTTCTCTACGACTCACGGTGAACAACATGAAACTCGGCTTAAATGCAGCTGGAAAAGGCCCTCTGTTCACCCCTAGAGTCTCAGCGGGGTCAGGGACACAGCAGCTATTGGCAGCCAGCATCTCTCTAGAGGTTCGGCTTGCACGAACACCTTACGGGACAGTGACTGCATGCTCCAGGGCAGGCGAGGGGAAGGAAGCTGCGCTCTCACCTGTCTTGACTTTTCCTTGCCATATTAGAATAGATTTCCTCTGACAAAATTACAGGGGGAGGGATTCTGACAATTTCTTATTTCCAGGATTTTTTACTTGGAACTCAGGTTTAAGCAACACCAACACCTCGCGTCAGAATAAAAGTGAACCCCCAGAGGTGAGCTGTCAGCCTGCAGCTTGTCCTCCTCTGCAGCGGGGGAGACGGACACAGCATGGGAGGCGCCGAGGGAAGCCTCCTGTCTCCCTCACGGATGCAGGGAGGCTCACTCCTGTGCACTTACACGTGGCCTAAGCTTGACTTCTATTAACACACCCAGGAGCAAGGCAGCCATAGTTCTCAAAAACTCTCGCTTTTGGTCCAAACTGGGGACACAGATCATTTCCAGACAACACAGATCGTTAGGAATATCGACTGCCAGAAAGTTGGACTTGATTCAGCAGCCTGCAAGTTTAGACTGTCAATCTGTATGAGGCCTGACAAAGGAGGACCGCAGCTGGGAGTTGGGCCTGGTCTGTCCAGCACCCTAAAATGTGAACCCTTCTCCCTCATCCAGCAGGGCAGGCTGATTAGAAAACAAGTTCTACTCTGACTTCAGACCTTTCTTCTGAACTACAGTCCTCGGCTACTTTGTAGCACAGTGAACATAAGAGAGAACACAAGCCACATTTATACTTAAATTAAATAGCATGATTTAATTTAGTTGCTGCTTAATCCTGGATCCTCTTAAATTAAAAAAACAGAAGTTACAATTAACTATTAACGTTAATGAATTGAAACCTTCCAGAAAGCATGAATCCAAAAGGAAATGTCCAGCAGGTGACAGCAGCCGGGTACTTTATGGTCTTTTCTGTTTTCGGTCTCATACATTCTAAACATCAATGGGAAAAAAAAATTCTCTGGAGCCGTTCAGTTTTATTCTTCTAGAACACAATTTTCTGGTCTGTTACTTAGTCTGGTCTTCTAAGAGGTACACAATGAGCTCATAGGTGGACAGCACAATGGCAGTGTTTGGGATCTGCCGGATGAGCTGGGCAAAGAGTCCCCTGTAAAAGGCCAGGTAACCTTCTTCCCGGAAGACCAGCCGAGCCGTCTGGACAAAAGACTTGTACTTGGTGCCCTCCTCCCGGAGCCGCGTTCTGATGACTTCTGCAGAGAGAGAGACAGACTTCAGACTTCAGGGGGCAGAGAAGCTACGTGCGCAGCCGCCTGGCTGTCGGGGGCGGCCGGGCCACTCGCTGCCTCACCCAGCATGGCAGGGCTGCCACACGGCGGACAGGGAAAAGCTATGTGCTCTCTAGAACGTACTAACTCTGAGACTCTGACGTCGTTTACACGTCCATAACTTAAAGGTAACTTAAAGTAAGTTTTAGGGATTAATAAAAGCTTAGTCTGGGGGGGATTCTTTCCAGGAGTTTATCCTCTTCTACTCCCAATCAAGCACCACCCTGAGCACTGAAGTGCGGTTTGCACTAAGAAGGCAACATGAAGGGAAGCCAGACTCCCTCACGGGCTCCCCTTACCCATAGTCCTCTTCTGCTGTCTGTTTTGAAGCGATCTCCTCCCTCTCCCACCCTTCCCTGACCTGGCACCCACAGCCTGACACTCATCACCACCGGCCCAGCACACCGCTGGGCCCACAGAGGCGCCCGGCCTCCCTGAGCTGGGGGGGCGCAGAGGCCGAGCCATGGGGATAGCGCGGCCTGTCACTCTGTGGGCAGGTGTGTGTCATGCCTGACTGTGCAGGTGCTTTTAGTAACAAAATCTGGTCTTTATGGCACCGAAAACTAGTCTTGAAGTGGGCCAGGAGGGAGCCCTCAGTTCTGTGCTCCTCAGAAAGTCGACTCACCAGAGCAGCCTCAGCCTCCATTCCAAGTGGACCCTGAGACCCTGGGTGTGGCAGGGGTGGTTAGGCGTCCACATCTTTTGTCTAAATTGGGGAATTTTAAGTGGAAGCCAGATTTTCTGAAAACACGGGAAAAGCCAGGACATGGCCACGCTGTGCTGGCAAGTCTGGGCCGCGGCCAGCTGGGGGTGTGCAGGCAAGCGCGCTGCTCTGCCCTGAGTCCTCCTTTCTGTCCGACCTCCACTCAGCACAGAGGCGAGACCACGCGTGGGAGTGGCGCGCGAGACCTACCGTGAGGGTACGCGACGCAGGAGGCACAGCCCTTGGAAATGGCAGCAGCCGCCATGAGTCCAAAAAAATTTGTGGAATTTTTCTCAGTCCCACTCGTAGAAGAGGCTAAGGGAGCTTCTTTCAGATACTTCTTCAAGCTTTCATAAATAGCAAAGCAGATGATGGTTTCTGAAATGCCCGCGTACGAGGCCGTCAGCCCCCTGTAGAAACCGCGGATGCCTTCCGTCCGGTAGACGTAGCGGGCGCACTGGAGCGTGTTCATCTGCTTGGAGCCGCGCACTCTGCAGAGGAGGTGACAGCCGCGCTCAGAGCCCAGGCCAGCCCCTCAGTGCGCCGTCTCCCTGCTGGGGCTCACCACCCTGCGCGCCCGAGCCCACCCCCGGGAGGGGCCATCGGCAGGACCCGGGCCAGGCCACAGGACAGCGTCTGTATCCAGAGTCATAAACATGGGGCACAGCCTTCGATCTAACTTTGGAAAGAGTTATATGGAGGAAGGGCTGCCCAGGGGAAATATAATCAACAACTATCTAAACACAGGACTGGATAAGTGAACTTCCAGGGCTGCCTCGTTGCCTCTTTCATTGTCGGCATATAGCATGCCACTGTAGTAAATACTTTTAAAACACTGACAACAATAATAATAGTTTGTCCACCGTAAAAGTCATAATTATAAAAACAGCCCTCAGGCCTCTCCAGACTGCCCAGGAACCGAGAGCACACCAGAGGCCAGGAGCTCTGGCTCAGGTGCCAGGGGGAAGCTAGTGCCCTTGCAGGCTTGGCGGTCAGCATGGCCCCTGAGGCAGCAGTGTTTGCCATCCCAGTGCCGCAATAAGGAAGAGGGGCTGACAGAGGCCACAGGGGCAGACTGCCAAGGCACAGGCCCCCCACGCCCTGAGAGGAATTCAGGACTGCAGTGGGGGAGCCAGAGAGCCAGACTTGACCCGACGTTTGCTGTTTCGGCTTCCACAGTGCTCAGCAGCACAAACCTCAGAGCCAAAGGAGCATCCGCTAGTGCTGACAATGAGAAAAACATGGGCGGGCAGCTGAGGCACCTGTCTCACTCAGAGCTGGGCTTGAAGGACAAAATCCCCGAGAATTCTTACGTTAAATAACAATAACTCACTTCCGTTCTAGCTGCATCCGGGTTTTAACCATCCATATAGGATTCATTAAGGTATTTGTGACAAAAGCTGGAATAAAAGGAACAAAAAAACGTGGTCAGGGCCCTGTCACTGTGTGGCGAGCCGTCCTGCTGCGGTGCAGACTGGGTCAGGGCCCGGTGCCAGGGAAACCGGAGCAGGAGGCAGAGCACCCCTGCGGAGGGCGGCTGCCCAGGGCATCTCGCTGTCTGCTGACCTCCAGGAGAAGCCTGCAGATTTCCTGGAGCCCTGGGCAGGGCTCCCACCTCTAGGTGGTGCTGTTGGTATTCGCTACGGTTTCCTAGGGTCATGTGAGTCTATTCTAAAGACTTCTAAGCCTCAGGACCAGGATGTTTTAAAAGGCTGCTGACCCAATCCGGGTTGCTTTGATCTAACTGAAGACAGAGGGACTAAGTCTCTATTTACCTGACTCCGACTTACAGACATTAAACGATTACACCTCATAATCATTTAAAGACCAATGAGCTTATGGGTGCCCACGTCCCCTTTCCCCTGGTCCGTTAGAGACACCTTTCTGGTCAGAAGCCGCGCTGCCGAAGGGCATTTTCTGCTTGGGGTCCAGAGATGGCTATTTCTATTCCTCAGGGGCACAGGTACTTCCATGAGGGGCATATGAGCCAGGGGGTGCACATTACAGGCCGGCCAAAGGCAAAATAGTTTCATAAAATGCCAATTTGAGTTCTCACAAGTACTTCTCCACTTAAACAGATGAGACTATAAAGAGTCTTCTCTTAGCACTTCCTGGGTGAAACCCTGCTGGAGTTCTCCCGGTAAGTGCAGTGGCTCCTAGAGAGGGCAGCCCTCGGCCAAGCCTCCTGCTTAGGACACGGCTGCACTCAGGGTGCTCTCGCGGAGTGCTGGGGGGTGCTCTTCACGAAAGGAGATCAACATTTAGAAAATAACTTGATGAGGCAAAGATGTGAAAACCACATTAAAATCCCTTCAAAAGAAGTGCAGTACCAAGCGGCAGCACGCAGGAAGCCCGCGGCTGCGGCGGGCAACACACTGCAGTGGTGGCTAACATGGCCGCAGTAGCAGACAGCGTCCAACACCTGGTGCCACTAGGCCTGGCACCCAGCCTTAGGAAAAGGGTTTCAGGCAGCAGCAGCAGAGAAAGACTCCCACTTCCTGGGACGAGCTGGTGGGCCCGCACACGCTGCGGGGGCCCTTCTCCCCGCTCACCGGACGCACCTGCAGAGCCGGCTGAGAAGATGTGGACAACGTTGCTGTTCGGCACGAAGACGCCATTGAACTGCTCTTTGGCTCTGGAGTAACAAGCAAAGTAGACGGCCCTGTTGGAACAGAGACGCAGTGAGACCTCAGGACATGTATGTCCCTCCACGACGCCTGGAAACATCAGGAAAATGATACAGAAGTAACTGAAGGCTGTCTAGCACCCAAGCCCACTGCAGGGATGGCTGGGGCCTTCTGTGTGTCCCTCCCAGAATGACGAGTGACGTCACTGTCCAAGCCAACTGATGAAAAGATGTTGGTAATGTATAAAGGCCAGACCTTAACTTGTGTAATATTCTCAAATAACCCCACTTGTTCTGCTTTATGCCAAAACAAGTGTGGAATGCAAATTGAACTCTTGGGAGTGACTCAGGGTCCTGTAGGAGCTGACAGCAAGCCTCCCCCATGCCCCCCAGGGGCTCACTGCAGGCAGCATCGGCGCCCCACAGCTCTGCCACCTCTGCTTGCTTGCGGGTCCCCCATTCAGAGAGTCGGGGCTGGCCAAGATATCTCCGCTCCTTTACCAGCAGTCCCAGGGAACACTGCCTTTCCTGGCTGCCAGTGGGTCAGTCACAGAGATTTTCCACTTAAGATCTTGACTTCTTAGGATTTATTATAAAACAGGCTCCTGTTTATTCCCCAGGCCTCAAGTGTTCTCAATGGCCACGGGGGCCAGGAAGTGCCATCAGAAGCACAGGCATCACCTCACAAGCACCAGCAGCAAAGCAGACTGCCTCTTCCCCTCCGCGTGACGGCCCCGCAGGACACCCGCAGGCACTGTGGCCTCTCAGGGAGGGCATTCTGGTTTTCAGAGATGCACACATGTGCTACCAAGTCTCAAAGGGGCACACACGCCAAGCAAGCACCTGCATTTCACATGCTCCGGCGAGCAGTGAGAGCTGTGACACTGACGCGAGACCTCACAGGTGCTCAGTCTCCCCCGGGGTACAGTAACCCTCCCTCTTCTGTCAGAAAGTTGAATTCTCTTTAAAGCCTATTTGAGCAGCACGGAGTAAGTGACACATCCTTCCCCCAACCCCCCTCCACCCCCTGGGGATTTCTAAGCATGGTTTGCTCCAGCTTTCCAGGGAGAGCTGCCCACCTATGCACTTCATAGTCGCACAGCCAGGCCCCTGCTGGGTGGCGCCTCTGACCTCAGCAAGGCAGCCGCTCCCCTCTGCGAGAGATGAGGCAATTGAATGTTTCGAGAGGCTGAGGAATGGAAGTGTTTAGGTAGAATTTTGCAATACTATATAGTGAACTTTTAAATTTTTTTTTTTTTTTTTGTGAACTTTTAATTTTAATTAAACAAATTAGCCACATGGCTAGTGGCTATTATTTTGGGACAGTGTCATTTTTCACATTAAGTAGACTTTCAAGAGAAGCAATAAACATTAAAAAAAAAAAAAGGGAAGATATTTTCTATAAAGCCTAGAAGGCTTTAACATTTCTTCAGACCGGTGCTGCCATGTGCGGGTGAGTCACTCCGGCTCTTGCTAACTGCGGAGGCCAAGGTGGGCCTGGGCACACCTCTGATGCTGGTGCGTGTGCCTAACCAGCTCCCGGGGGGGGGGGGGGGTCGATGCTGCTGACCCAAAGCAGACCGAGAGCAGCAAATGCCTGTTCAAAGAAGATTCTGGGTGATGATTCTGGTTGATGAGAGCAGACTGATTTTCCGCTTAAGAATAAAATAAGAATCACTCCGCTCCCCACCACCAACCGTGATCATCACTTCTGTGTGGACGGCTTACTCAGGTCCGCATGAGCGGAGAACCTGGCTCAGCAGTGCAGGCAGGGCCCAGGGCGAGCTGGCTGGAGTTTCAGAATGCTTACCTGGATGGTGCAACTCCAACCAAATTTGGACCCAAGCCTCTAAACAGTGACTTTGGTCCCTCTTTCTCCAAGATTGACCTGCACAAGAAACAAACAAGCATGGATCTTTGAGATCTTTAGACTAACACAGGGCCTCTACCTTCTCATCAGCAATGTGTAAACAGTGTTCACAAGACCCCAGACTCTCATCTGATTATTTCACAACCCAGCAGCATCAAGGATACCTCTTTTATTTCATCACTGACATGCTTTTTTAAAAAAAAGATTTATTTATGCACACAAGAAAGTGGGGTACAGGCCAGAGGTACAGGGGTGGTGAGAAGATTCACCAAAGACAGAGTGGGGAGACAGGAGAGGTCTGCTGTGCCCTGTAGGTCATTCCCTGGCCGGGGATCGAACTTGTCTAAAGTGGCTGTGGACAGCTTTGTAGTACTGCACTTTAACCTGCTGCACCACCAGGGAGGGTCCACTGACATTTTTCAAGAAGCCTCCTCCAAGGTTCTCAGAGGGCAAGATGGCGGGGTTCGGGCCATGCACTGAAATCCTATTAAGTCTGGTGAAGGGTCTCGTATGGGATGTTCTGTGCCCCTAATCAGATTCACCGAGGACCAGCAGAGAATTGTTCAGGTGGTATTTCTCCAGGACACTCAGTCATCTGTGGGAACCCTATCTTCTAGCTGCTATTGTAATAGAGCTCTAAACAGGGATATAAGGAATAGAAAAACAACATTTTCATAGGCTAAATGAATGGTATTTACAGCCAAAGCTCTGATTTCAAGTTCAAAGATAACATTTTTACTGGTCTTCATTTCCAAGCACACAGCTCAGGGCCCAAGTGCACTCACGTGGTGCTGTGTCCCAAGCAGTCCCACACCTTTCATCTTTTCCAACAGACACCCCACGTCTGTCTAGTACAGACTGACCTGCCCTGCAACCAGCTTTCTGTCATCTCCAGGGGTCTGATGGCTCAGGGACCTGATGTGACCAAGGCCATTTGGTATTTACCCTTGTGACTGGCCTGTGTCATTTAGCATGGCGTCTTTAAGGTTCATGCATGGTGCAGCCTAGTTTTTAAGGCTGAATAATCCTCAGTTGCGTGTTTGCACCAGTCAGTTGTCTGTCAAAGGATCGTCAGGTAGCTCCCACCTGTGGCTGCTAGGAATATGGGCTAAGTCTCTAGTTTAAGTTCTTTTTGCCTGTCCAGGAAGGGAACTGCTGGGACACAGGGCATTCTAGGTTTAATTTTTCCAGAATGTGCTACACTATCCGGGCACAGCAGCCGCACCATTTTATGTGCCTACCAGTAACACCCAGGGCTCCAACAGTCCCACCCCCTTGCCAACACGCTTTCTCTAAAAAAGGGAAAAAATTAAATATGATTTCTGGCTATAGTAACTCTAAGAAAATCCTAAAAGGACTGTCTAGAACATCTGATTCTTTGATTTGGTTAAATTTATTCTTTTGATGGTCTAATTTTCAAGGTACCCAAAAAGAATTTATATGATTACATTATGGTCCCTTCTAATTTGGTCTGCTGTTGTTACTGAGGACTTTTTCCTTACTTGGTAATTAACATTTCCAACTTGACAGCATTCGAAATTATCTCCTCACAAGTAAAAGAGTCTATATGATGTTTTGTATCCACTAAGGCACCGAATGAAAGATAAAAGACACCCTTCACTGCAGGAAAATACCACAGTAAAGCTAGTGGTAAGGTAAGGCCTGCCGGTTCTAGCTCTGCCAACTTGCACTGTTTCCACCAAAAGTTTCAAGAGGAAACAGATTCTGGTACAGAAGAGGTCCCGCAGATGCTCTGGGCCGCGGCGGCCGGCTGAAGTCCAAGTCCTACCACACACAGCCGTCTGCGCCTCCCTGCCTCGTGCCGGCGCAGCTGTCTGCAAGGGGCCTGGACTCCCGAGCGCTCAAACTGCAGCTCTGAGCCTGGGCTTTTCCCCTGTGTGTTTGAATGCTTTTCAAATGTTTCGCTTGCTTGAATAATAATATTCAATAATAATATTTGTATCTCTGAGAGCTTTTCTAAAAAGTAGCAGGCTAGCCGAACAAAATATAAAAGGGCCTAGCATTGGAAAGGGAAAAGGAAAACTAGCATCCTCCACAGGTGACAGCCTTACGTGTAGAAATAAATACTGAGGAAGTCACTCAAAATGGAGGTAGACAAAGTCACCGAAGATCATGATACAAGCGTGAATTGATGTCTACAGGACAGCTATGAGTGATCTGAAGATGGAAATCAACATTTCCATTTATAATAGCATCAAAAAGGATTCCCATAATTTTTCTGTGAGTTTGAAGTTATTTCAAAATGAAAATTGTATAAAAGAAAAAAAAGCTCTAGACCTTAGGCTGCAAAATCTTGACGTTCTAACCTGGCGTTCTAACCCAGTCACTGAGCAGGTGCTGGGGCTCCCTGGGTTCCCACAGAGCTCACAGCCCAGATGAAGGCATGGGGCTGCAGTGAACTCCACATTGGCCGGAACAAGCCACTGTCTGCACCTTGGCAGAAGCATGGAATTTAGGGGTGTCGACTTTATTGACTTTTACTTCCTCAAAACAAGAGCATGCTTTTAAAAAGCTAAGCTCTCTGGACAAAAGCTTCTCTCAAGCAATACCTTGATGTGACCTAGACCTTCTGATACAGGATGTCGCAAGGGTTTTCCAGCACTCAGTATATTTAACATCTGGTGATGGTGCAGTTCTGCCCCTGGCCCTCATTCCTGTACATGGTGCAGCCCCAGGCTGCCCTGAAGCACAATTAAAGGAGCCCCTGGCTCCAGGAAGCGCACAGCCTCTCATCCATAATGTAGTAGGGAGCCGTGTCCTCGAGTGACTCCAACCTTTTAAGAACTGCGGAGACTGTCTCCACAGTTACGCACATTAACAGTGGGCAAAAAGTCAAATCTGTTACATAATTCAAAACTTCCACCCTATCGGGATGTTTACAAAACTGTTCTCTGACAGTCAAGTCCTGACTATAAATAGTATCCTTCTGCCTCAAAATAAGGCTGTGAGGGTCCAGACCAATTTTCCCACAGTCATGGTGACTTCCATTTAGGAAAGAAATGCAGGATGCAACTAGGGTTTCGTCTGAAGTAGTTTAGTTCCTTTACTGTTTTTAAGTGATAACAGATCAACCTAGACTAATTTAAGACCAAGACCCCATTTGAGCATGTCAGTTTTTAAAAGTTAGAGGCGAGGTTACTAAAGTTACTTTTCAGAGTAGAAAGGTACTTGGGGGGAAAAAATAAGGTGGCTGAGTAGTTTAAAGAACAGGAGCCTGATTAAAAGTCACCTTTTAATATCTTTAAGGCCAACAACTGAAATAAATGATCTATTGCTCTCTGAAAACTTTTAATTTTTGGATTTATTTACGCGCACAGGGGCACAGGCCAGAGGGGCAGGGGTGACAGTATTCACGAGACAGAGCAGGGAGCAGCACAGGCAGATGGACTGAAACACACTATCGAGGGGAGCAGCCAGAGCGGCAGGAGACAGGAGGGGGCTGCTGCGCCCTGGGGGTCCCTCCCTGGCCGGGATGGAGCTCCTGCTGCGGGGGCTGCGGACAGCTTCATAATGCCTAGACTTGGCCCTTGCGCCAGAGGCCTGCTCTCTGAAAACTTAAGAGCCTGAATGTGTTAACATCTAGCTTTTTTTCCTTTAAATAACTATTCAAAATCAAAAATATGATTAGTGCTCCAATGGAGATTACTTTTTTCTCTGGTCGGTTATTTGTATGTTAGGCACAAGGAAACAATTTGCATTTATATAGATAAGCTTCCTGTAAGCAAATTCTGTTGCCTGCCAAGTCTTCTAAAGTAGTACTTCCTGATAGAGTCAGGTAAATAATAAGCAGCTTAATCAGAAATGAATAATCATTTTGCTCATTTGGGTTTTGATAAACCCATGTCTCAACCCAGACAGATGGGCTTTGCGGTGCAGACGAAAGACCTAGATGCTAGTCCCGTGTTATCATTTATGGGACAGGAGCCCCTCGGAGGGCTGTCATCACTGCTCTTAGCCACAGGAAAGTTACAGCATCTCAGAAGGCCGGTGACAGCCCAGGAAAAAGGAAGGAAGCAGTAAAATGAACACCAGTCCTCTTCTGCTCAACCCCCCCAAACACAATGCTTCTTGTGATGGCACGGCCAATATGGAAGTACTGAGGCTGCTTTTATGACTTTTTAACAGAAAAAGACAGACATTTCCTTTAAAGAACCAGGGCACTTTCTTCAGATGAGAGTTATATAATATGGTATTTCCATTTTTTCCTTGGCTACCAGGAAACTCAAGTTATCAAGCTCATGCTTATAAAGCACAGGGGGTATTTATTATGATAGTAGCTGATATTATTTAGGCACTGGGGTGCATATGTGTGTTAAGCTGCTTATATGCAACATCTCACTGACATACCAAAATCCAGTGTTTTTATGTCCACTGACAGGTAGCATTCCAGGGGTACCTCCAGAATTAAAGCAAATCAAAGCCTCTGCCTCTGCCTCTGGGAAGCTTCAATTTAGTGGCAGCAGGGAGAGGAAACCATGTAAATCCAGAGCTAGGCTGTCCGTTGGATGGAGGCAAGCGCTGGACTGAAACTAAGGTGAGAAGGAGGGGTGACTGGGGGGCTCTGGTTTTAGACACTCTGCTCACAGCGAAGCCTCTCTGCACTGGTGCAATGGCACCAGGTGGCAGCCAGCATGCCGTCAAGTCTGAACAGAGGGCCTGTGGTGGGAAGGTCCTGCCTTCCAGGGCAGTGGTGAGGAGGCCAGTGCAGTGGGCGATGGCATCGGGGATGAAGCTGGAGGAGCGGCAGGAGACGTGACAGGGGTGCAGCGCCTGGTGGCAGCTGGGAGGTTTGGGCCTCTACTGGAGAGGCTGGCTCCTGGAGGACTCAGGGCAGAGGAGTCTCTGGCTCTCTGTGAAGAAGGGGGCAGAGGGCAAAGGGGGAGAAGCAGAGTCTCCCGCAGACTAGTGACGAAGGAAACCAATGGGCAGACTGGGCAGACAGGTGGCTTCCATCAGGACAGCGGGGGAGGAAGAAGTGAAAAGGCTCAAGCGGCCCGTATTGTGGAAATGACCTTGACCGAGTTTGCTGTGAGGTTGCTGTGAGGCTGCCTGGAGCCCAGAAAGTGGCGGTTAGTTCTGGTGGTTTCAGTGCGAGCCGGAGAAGGCTGGGCTTGAGGCCCTGGCTTCCAGCCTTCAGAGGGGTGAGGCTGGGGACGGTGGGGGGCAGCCAGATAGCCTAGCCCTGCTTAGTGCTTGGTGTTACTCTTATTAGCTCTGCAGCTTTTCCTCAGAAATTTCCTAAACATGACATGACTTGAGTAAGTCATGTAGCCCTGCTTCGCATTGTCTCATCTATAAAATGGAGCAGGCGCGCCTCACTGTGGGTCTCAGAGCCTTGTGAAACATCAACAATGCTACCCAATATGGCTCTTTCATTTTGGCAGCTGTGAAACATCCAGTGAGACTCTTACAAATTATATGTATCAAGTGGAGAAAATTAAACTATAAAGCGCTCTTGGCGAAAAATGTCACTACGCATACACCTTTCTAATAGAACATCTTAACAATTTCATGGAGTAACGCCATCATCTGTGCATTTTGATGCGACTCCAGAACAAGTGGTTTCAGAACAGTACTGTGGCTGGTGGCTCCAGTGAGAGGCTGCTGGTGGGGGCAGGGGGTGCATGTTGTGGTTGGTGGAGACCTTTCTTGCTCAGGCCACTTGCCATCCAATTGAGGTCCACCCGGGAACTCGGGCCAGGCGCACCCGGTCACTGCAAGTCCCTGGAGGCTGCTGGCAATGTCGCGGGACCAGTTTCCTCAAAGGTCGCCCAGGTTTCTTAGGGACAGCTAGTGAGGCACTGCCACTTAGAGGAACCTGAGTCTTGGCCTCGGTACCGGGTGAGCCTGGATTGATGACAGACCCGGGACCCACAGCTGGAGCTGCTCCCGCGCAGGCTGCGGGCGGTGGGGCTCTGCCAACACCCCGGCAGCTGAAGTCACAAGGAAGGGGGCTCCCTATGTGCTAGTGAGAGCTTACAAAAAAAAAGAAAAAAGAAAAAAGAGGCTTCCCCCTTTCACTGACAGTTTGATAAACTTGTCCCACACATCCATGTCCCCGTATCTGTACTACAGTCACCGTCTCCGTCTCTATCTCGATGTATCTGTATCTATCGCTCAGTGGGGCAGGTGCTGGAGGAGAAACCTCCCCTAGCCCTAAGTCGCTTCCTCATTCACCGTCCCTTTTTCACTTTATGTTCCTGGCCCTGCTGACACCCCAACTTTTGGGCAACAGTTTCCCAAACAGTTACAGTAAATGTCAATGCACCAGTCACGAGTTGTTTAGCAAGCCTGCAGGAGGAAGTTCACTTTACATGTGAGTGACGTTAGCAAATGACCTGCTTCAGACTAGTTCCAGAGCACCCTGTGTTCTCCAGAGGGAGGTGTCATCTGAGACACTGCTGCTGCCTGGACACCGAAAGGCCAACCAGGTGGCGTCTTCACAGCCGTGGCTTTGGAGGCGTGGGCCCATGTCCTCCTGTCTGAGATGCCTGTGCCGCCTCTCTCTCCCCGCCTATCCTTAACTGCTGCTGTGTATGTTTAATTTAAAGAACAGGTTCTTGAGGCCCTCCCTGGCAGGGGACAAGGTTGAGTCTCAGCACTATCAAGTTGCCACCACCCCCTGCATCCCAAGTGCGATCCTCTGCCAGGGAGCGACCCCCAGGGCGCAGCAGACCCCGCCTGTCTCCCCGCTCTCCCTCAGCAGAGGATTTCAGTAGATGTGCCTGTTCTGCTCCCCACCTAAGCTCTTATATGCATAAATAAATAAAAAAGAAAGAGCAGTTCTTCTGGCGCCGGCCCAGCCGACCCCCTCGGGACTGTGCCTTCCACGGCGCTGTGCTGCCAGTTTGCATAATAAGCCGTTTGCGCCCACGTCTGCATGGACACCTGGTCAACTCGGTAGGTTTCATAAACACACACACCTAACAATTAAAGGAAACACTCTGCAAGCCTTCCACCTCGCGGCGACTGCGCGCTGAGAAAGGGGTACGCCCGCCGCTCTGCACATGGCAGCACGGCTGCGCCTGGCTGACGTCGGCGCGAGGAGGCGCGCGTCTGTCTGAACACGCCTGGCAACGGTGTCTCGGGGTCCGCACATCAGGTTTAGCTGGGTTCAACTATTATGTACTGACCATCTCTTTTCAGCTATAAAGCAGATATTGTCACATGCGCTTCTGAATTTCTGATTTGACTATAAGCACAGAGACTGGAAAGCAAATTTTAACTTATGTCTATTTAGCTACTCTGTAAGCAAATGAGACATCTGAAACCCAGTAAAACTGATAAAATGGGCAGGCTGGCCAGGCGAGAGACCCGGAAATCTGAGCCTGTCCCACCCCCACCCCGCAGCCTCGGGCTGGCCCTGGAAAGGCTGGGCACAGCAGCCCTTTGGGGCGAGACGTCAGCAGGGGCCCTCGGGTGTCTCTGCGAGGTTCACTTTCATGTCTCTGGACGGTGACCACAGGTACACCGGGAGCCCTGTGGCCAAGGGGTACGTTTGGTGTTGGAAGGTGCTGGCCCAGAACCTAATTCTTTAGTCTGGACAAAGACCACGCCGCCCCGCGGGCTGAGGGCACTTCCTGTGTAAGGGGGTGGGAAGGACTTACTTCAGAACCTGCAAGAGTCCGGGTGTCACTGACGCTGGCCTCACCACTCCAGCTCCACTGAGGGTGCCCAGGTGAACCTGAGGGTAGTAGACAGTCCCGAGAGCCAGCCTGGACGACTGCAGTCTCGTCTTAATGACTTCTAGCGGGCACGTGAAAATAGCACCGACCGTGCCCCCGCACCTGTGAGAAGAGGCCATACAGCGTCAGGAGAGCGGCACTGTCCTGCCCTCGGGCGCCCCAGCCCGCGCCTCGGCTCGCTTGTGTGTTTTAAGCACCTATGCTCACCGACGGTGAGAGCACACAGGGAGCGGAGGCCCCACAGCAGAGGGCTCGAGAACAGACCCCGAGGGCGTGCGTCGCAGCACTGCGACGCTCTGGACACGCGCACACACCACTCGTGCAACCCACTGGGAAGATCCACGTGTGGCCTCAGCCAGTGCCTTCCCACCACACAGTATGCCACGTTCGATTTCCCTAGCTCACTGCAGCGAATATTCTAGGAAATGCAAGAAAGTTACTTGGGTACTGTTGAACCCACAATGACAAACAGGCTTTTATTAAAATCTGATTAATTTGATGCCACAGAAAATGCAAGTGCAGGTTACTTTTCATCCGTGACCAACAACTCACCTTCTGGGCTCCCTCAATCACACCGTCCTGTGTCAGGCTCAATCTAGCTGCGCTTTAGAATTTATTCCTATCAAAATATTACCTGATTTGAAATTTGGGTATTTTCCTTCAAGACCACTCATTTATCCTAAAATACCCACTTCCATCTTTCCTGAAACAGGATTCGTGAAATGGCACATTGGGGGACGAGCTGTTCTTAACAATGCTGTGTCCTCTGGAAGCCACCCTTCCATGGGGGTAGGTTCGGCTCCGTGGAACATCGACGCCCAGCCTGCATGTCCCGTTCTCTGGCCCGACAGCAGGAGCCTGCGGGCGGTATGTGCCAAGCGCAGGGTTCTGACGCTGAGGTTGCCAGGAGAAGGCCCCAGCAGGATGTGATGTCTTGGGGCAGCCTCTTGCCACCCTGGTCCCGGGGTGGGGGTGCTGTGCTCACATGACCATGCACCACAGCAGCTCAGGAAACACAGCCCAGCTCTGCCTGGGCAAGTGACAGGGCGGCGGGCAGGGCACGGCATGCCAGCATCCGAAGCTGGCTCCCTGAGCCTCCTGATGTGTGTGCTGGGAGCTGGAAGCAAGCCTGAGGTAAGGAATGAAGTCAAGTCCCCACGCAGTAATTATGCACAGGAAACAGGCTTGTCATACCGGAGAGCAAGCAAATTCCTGATAACTAAGAGCTGGAAGCTTCGGGCTGCTGCTGACTGCGGGTGACACAGACACACGCCCGTCCACTGCCCGGAACAGTACTCAGGCCCAGTTAGCACAGGGAATCAGAATGTCAGAAAAAGAGATGAACATGTGAAGTGTTAGAGGCATTAACAGTCGATTTGGCTGCTTGGTAAGCTGCTTATTCATGATGTTCCTAGAGCTGCTGGTCACCAGGGCTTTCTGAGTGGAGGCGGAAGCCTTGCACTGCAACAGCGGTCAGACAGGAGGGGAGGACGGCAGAAGGGGCCTGGCGCACTGAGCAACTACCACGCCTCCTCCCCAGCCAGAGATTTTGCAGATGACCCCTCACTCTGGGAGGCGACCTGGGCCGCAACAAAGCTGTACACTTTCTCAAAGTCACAGAACCACTGAGGGTCTAAGCAGAGACCCGACTCCAAACCTGTGTCCCCAGGCCCAAGCTCTCCCATTATACCAAGTGATCTTCCTGGGGAGCAGTGTAGACGGACAGGCAGGGGACACAGACCCTTTTGTTAGCTAAGACTATCTACATATCTACATTCACACTCAAGATGGAAGCTGTGGATCACACAGCTAGGTCTTTAAAACCTGGTTGTGCTCTTTTCTGTCAAGGAAACTGCGTCTGCGGGATCTGTTCGAAGCACTAGAACATACCAAAGGAAAATGGGAGACAATGTGGGTGTTAAAAAAATAAAGCAAAAAGTAACTGCCTAACCCATGTCTGTTCACACAGAACAATCTACTTGTACCTCGTACAGCAATAAACACGTGTGTGCTTAAAAGGTACAGCCTTCTAGTGCCTCGAAGCCCCATGTGCCGCAGGGCAGGTAAAGAGGCGTCAGGGCTCGACTTTGATGGTCATCACTCTTCAAAACTGAGTTTCTGAGTAAATTTTTTCATCAGAAAGTCAACAAGCGCACAGAGGGCGTAGGCCAACCGCCACAGCTCTGCCGCCGGGCCAGCCGTGCTTCTGCTTGGCCGTGGTCCACACCTGTGCCCTGTGGCGGTGCCAAGGAATTGGGCACCAGGAGGCGGCTCTCCACCAAGGAGGCTGCCCCAGCGGGCGAGCTACTCACAGACCGCCTTGCCTGCCGGGCCACTGTGGGCCACTGTGGGCAACGGGGAGCCAGAACGCCCGCAGGTATTCCCTGCCTGCACCTGGGTTGGATACATAGTCCCGAGGCACCTCAATTAGAGACAGTAACTCTGAGGTTCAACATGTCCAAAGAAGATTCTTCCTGACATTCAAAACATTTCACAGCAGAATTTTCAAAGTATCTTTTAGCTCAGCTGTTACTTTCTCCCAACCAACATGCCCGGGTGTTCTTCAGTCTGAGAAAGAATATGGATAAAAATACTGACTTCACTGGGAAAAAAAGACAAAAAGCCAAGAAAGCCCAAATACTGACTTTCCAAGTATTTCTAAAAATATTTTACCACATTGAATCCAAAGCATTTAAGATCACAAGTCAACTGTACAAAGCTGCCACCTCCCTGTTCTTTGGGACAAAGGTGGCCTTTTGCAGGAGCCAGCCAGCTCCTAGCTGGAGGGAGCCCGGGGAAAGCCAGCCCCTGAGGTGCTGCGCCGGGTTCTGAACCAGCTCTCGGGTCTCGGTTCTGTAAGGGCGGGAGCTGAGCCCCACTCCTCTCCCCTTTCCTATCAGCAAGAGTAGGGGCAGGTTCCTTAACATTTGGGGTTAACTCAGGTTTTCGACTTTAGCCATCTAAAACTTCCACCTCAAAGTGCATTCACAACTGCCCTTCATTACTGCCAGCCAGGTTCCCAGCTCCAAGGGTCTAATGTGTTCTCTCACTTTCTCTGTCCCTCTGGTTAGGGCTCTCAGGGAGAGGCGTCCTTGTGCAAGGTCTCTCGGCATGGCCCACCTGCTATGCTTGTCAATGGGTGAAGGTCTCTCGGCATGGCCCATCTGCTATGCTTGTCAATGGGTGGCCTTGGGGGAATGGCAGGAGTTCAGGGTAGGTGACATGTGAGCAGGCCTTCTTGGGATAGGGTGCAATCTCACCAGTAATCCCACTGGGAACCCCAAATCCACCAGCAGTCCAACCCCATCACCTTTTGGCCTCACTTGGCCACAGAACCACACAGAGAGTATGTGGTGCTTATCCTTCCTCTCATCCCCCAACTCTGTGACACCAAGCCGGAGGGCCCACTGGAGTCTTCGTGCCCGGAGGAGGCAACAAGACTGGCACGTGGCAGGACCCCGATGTCCACTCCACAACCCACCAGACCCTCTGTATCCGCTGGCAGGGTGAGCCAGAGCCGCCCGCTGCAGAAGCTTCTGGGCATGGAGCAAGGACCTGCTCCAAGCCTGGGAAGCCCCTCAACCTACAGCCCAAACTGCTAGGGGCTGGGGACAGTGACAGGAAAATCCTCCCTCCACACCCCACAAGCTGACAGCCTTTCTTCCCCTCTCTGGAGTGAATGCCAGGGGCAGGGGGGCACATTCTTTCTAAGGCTTGGAGCAGTGGGCTCCCCTTGATTCGGTCAAGTGCCTAGTGCTTGACGACAGTAGTCACATGTACCGTCCTCATGGTGACACAAAGCGGGCATCAGTCAGGAAACGGCTAATTCTAACTGGACACCGTGACCTCAGAGCAGTCTCAGGGAGGAGGACTCCAAGTGCTATGTGCAGTGACCAGGGCCCCTAGGGAGAAGATGTTACAGAAGAAGTAAAATTTCACTTAATTGACAATCTATAGCCTCTAATTTCTATTCTGTATATATACACATTATATTGTGTATAAAGTGAATGGGTAGGGAAATACTCAAGCATATGCAAGCATTTAAAAAAAAAGATTTATTTATTTATGCACAAAGAACTCGGGTACAAGCCAAAGGTGCAGGGGCGATGAGAGGATTCACCAGAGACAGTGCAGGGAGCAGAACAGGCTAATCGACAGAGTACATGGCTGAGGGGAGCAGTGGGAAGACAGGAGAGGTCTGCTGCACCCTGTGGGTCACCTCCGGGGCCGGGGATTGAACTCGTGCTGAGGTGGCTGCGGCTGCAGTACTGCATCCTAACCCGCTGCATCACCAGGGAGGGCCCAGCATATGCACGCATTTTAATACCAGGCCTGTGGTCAAACTCTGAAGATGACCCTGCTAGACCAAGGCATTCAGAGGGGCAATTCTGACCCATTTCCACGACATCTGCAACATCTGGAGACATTCTGGGTTGCTGAAACTGGGGAAGGGGCACGCTAGCATCGAGTGGGATACTGCTAGCCCCTACAAAGCCCCCCAACAAGCAATTATCTAATGGGAGGAGAGAAAGTGGTCTAGATCAATAAAATGGACAAGGTCTTTAAAGGAGAGCGAAGTGGGGAGGTCTTATCTTTGGCCCCCCGGGCATCGATGCATCAATTCCCATCACCCATCTCCACAAGATCCCAGTCTTTTATGCCTGACAGTTTGGATGGGGTTGGACGCACTGCTAGTTTTGACTCACTTACTCAACACAAGATAACCCACTTTGCCACGCTGTCTGTTGAGGAACATGCTTCAGCCCCAGAGAAGCACAAAATTCCCAGGGGAGCGCTGTCTGGCTGGAGATGGAGATGTTCAAGATGGCCTAGTCAGGGTTAAGCCCAAAGTCTGCTCAACAGGAGCCACGCTGGAGCTATTGGAAGCCTCCCTGTGTTCACAGGAGCCACCCTTGGAATAAAGCAGATATTTCCAGAAGGCAGAACAGCCATCAAGCGGTGGGTGCCATGGTGCACTAGGGAGCTATTCAGATAATCGGTCACCAAAGCCTGGTCTCCATCTCGCCACTGAGTCTGTGCCAATAATCAAGCCAGCTGGAAGTGAATTTGTTACAGCATCCAGCCTCCTACATGAGCCCCAACTTCAAGTATTTCTGTTTTCAGTAGCTTCTCA